CACCTCCTCCACCATCACCACCTCCTCCATCAGCACCACCTCCACCATCACCACCTCCCACCACCACCACCATCACTACCACCTCCACCATCACCACTTCCCACCACCTGCATAATCACCACCACCTCCACCATGACCACCACCTCCACCACCACCACCTCCACCACCTCTACCATCACCACCTCCCACCACCACCACCATCACTACCACCTCCACCATCACTACCACCTCCACCATCACCACTTCCCACCACCTGCATAATCACCACCTCCTACCACCATCACTATATCCCACCACCTGCATAATCACCACCTCCCCCTCTGCACCATCACTGCCTCCCACCACCTTTACCATAACCATCTCCTCCACCATCACAACCTCCTCCATTATCACCACCTCCTTCACCATCACCACGACCTCCACCACCACCACATTCTTTACCATCACCATCTCCATGATCACTGCCTCCTCCATCACCACCATCTTCCCCATCACCACATCCCACCACCCGCATAATCACCACCTCCTCCATCTGCACCATCACTACCTCTCATCACCTCTACCATCAGCTCCTCCACCATCACCACCTCCCACCACCACCACCACTGTCACCACATCCCACCACCTGCATAACCACTGCCTCCTCCACCTGCACCATCACCACCTCTGTTAACATCATCTCGTCCACTATCACAGCGCCTTCCACCATCACACCTCCTACCACCTCTGCCATCACCACCTGCTCCACCATCACAACCTCCTCCACCCCCACCATCACCATCTTCTCTACCGTCACCACCACCCATCATTTCCACCATCATCACCATCACCACTGCCCACCTCTACCAATATTATTACCTTTCCTATCACCTCCAGAATCACCAGCTCCTCCAACATCACTCCCTCCTCCACCATTACCACCATTAGCTCCACCATGACCCCCTCCTTCACCTCCATCATCACTTTTTCCACCATCACCGTTGTTACCACCATTACCACCTCTCCCATCACCACCATTACCACCAGGTTCTTTATGGTTAGTCACTTAGTGACTTAGTGACTTGGAAAGACTTAAGTAAGTCTTTCCAATTTTATGGGTCTTAATTTCCTCAGTTTTAAAATAAGAAAGCTCCCCCTTAGGCGGTTTGAGGGATTTGAGGGCTAATCACGGAAAAGGATAGGACCATAAAAGGCAGTGACAGACAGCCAGCCTCAGTGTCTCACACCTGTAATCCCAGCACTTTGGGAGGCTGACGCGGGCAGCTCACGAGGTAAGGAGTTCGAGACCAGCCTGGCCAATATGGTGAAACCCCGTCTCTACTAGGGATGCAAGAATTGGCCTGGCACCCGTCTCCACTAGGGATGCAAGAATTGGCCAGGCATGGTGCCAGGCACCTGTAATCCCAGCTACTCGGGAGGTTAAGGAAGAATTGCATGAACCTGGCAGGCAGAGGCTACAGTGAGCCGATATCATGCCACTACACTCTAGCCTGGGCAACAGAGTGAAACTCTTCTCAAAAAAAAAAAAAGGCTGTGACCTACAAGCTTCGTTGAGCGGCACTTGGACAGGGTTACGTAAGGGCAGAAGTCCCTCCCAGCATGAGAGCAGCCATAGGCTTTCAGTGAGGAGGGCACCATTCAGAGGAGCAGGGCAGCTCCCAGGGGAGAAGAGGATTAGGGCGGAAGCTTACAGATCTAGGTGAGGCTGCTCCGTAGCACAGTGGGGAGTCCCTGAGCTCCAAGGGCGGTAGCAGCTTAGGGCTCTGTATCTGCAAGGCTCTATCTTATCAGTAGGAAACAGCTGTCCAGTGAGGCTTTTTAGGGTCTGCAAAGTAGGCAGGCACTAAATGGATGAAAATCTGCTTATTTAGGCTATTTTTAAAATGACTGGATATGGTAAAATGTGAGTTTGGTGTGAGCTAAGGAAATCAGCATCAGTCCACAGTGAAGAAATAAACAACCCAAGGGCTAATACATAGAGACAATCTTTGACTTATTTACATAACACCTCCCCTTCAAGAAAAGAAAAAGACATGACTTTTCTAAAGGAAGTCCTGTCATTAGCCATACCACCCTGAACACACCCAGTATCTTCTAAGGGAAGTCCTCATAAGGAAGCAGAATAATAAAAAGAATCCAAAGGAAACATCAGAAGTCCCCAAGCATCCCCATCCCATGTTCCCTGACCCCTGCCCTGCAGTGGATCTTCTGTCCCAGGACCCACCAGAATAGAATGACAGAGGGACACTTCACTCCTCCTTGCCCTCCCTATTCTGTATTTAGGGTTTCAGGTTAGTCTCTTTTCAAAACTTTAAGTTGAATATATGAAAGAGATCCTAGATGACTACTGCAGACCCAGGCCTAGCTACTCGCATGCAGGCAGCCTTCATTCCCAACAGGGAAGTAAGGCAATCCAAGGTGGACGTCAGCCTGCCCTGCAAAACTTGTTTTTATTTTCTCTTTCCCTTTCCTTTCTTTTTTCCCTTGCTTGCTATCTTTCTCCTTCAATTCTTTCCTTTTCTTTTAGTTCCCGGTTCTTTTTTTCTTCCTCTCCTTGATTCAAGTGCCAAAGATCCCTAGACCAGGAGTCAAGATGCCTGTGTGCTGATTCCAGGGACACCATTAACCACTCCTGTGACTGGGAGCTCAGCCTTTGAGGCAGTCATTTCCTCATCTGCAAAATTAAAAAATAAAAACTAGACTGGATTAGATTTATTCAGGTCTTGACCTACTGATTTTGTGGTCTATGTCTGCTGGTGACATCCACAGATGTTACTTAGCACCATTAGTGGCAGTTATGCCTCCAAAGGTCACTGACCCCATTCACGGTGATTTAATTCGCCTATCCCAGCTCTCTAGATACAGGATGATCTTCATACCTGAAGCAAGTTGTATTCTTCCAAAGTCGTCGGACTTTATCATTTTGCATAACCTATTATGTTTTCTGCCATCTAAAGACTTTGTAGCAATAGATACAACCTTAGTCTTTTTGAATAGTCACTAGCAATAGACAAATTCATCTCCTGAATTACTCTCTGTCGCTTACAATGTGCCACTAAGTTAACACCCATGCCTTGGGTAAGGGCACTGTGGGTCTCAATCTTTGGAGAGGATGTTTTTGGAATGTACCTTACTCCTGTTTTCTAAACACCATTCAAATTATTTTTGAAATGCCTATTTTTTTTTTTTTTTTTTTGAGATGGAGTCTTGCTCTATTGCACAGGCCAGAGTGCAGTGAAGCAATTTTGGTTCACTGCAAACTGTGCCTCCTGGGTTCAAGCAATTCTCCTGCCTCAGCCTCCCAAGTAGCTGGGATTACAGGCACCCACAACCATGTGCAGCTAATTTTTGTATTTTTAGTAGAGACAGGGTTTCGCCATCTTGGCCAGACTGGTCTTGAACCCCTGGCCTGTGATTCGCCCACCTCAGTCTCCCAAAGTGCTGAGGTTACAGGTGCGAGCCACCACACCCAGCCTGAAATGTCTATCTTTAATGTTGTCTCAAAGGACCTATGGAAGATACCCATAGCAAGGCTTTCTTTTAAGTGCAGATGTCTTTGTGCTTTCAAGTTCTGATAGCTGGCTTGACCCAACAACTGTTAATGAGTAACCTAAGTGACAGGCACATGACCAGGTTCTAATCCCATCAGTGTGCTGCTGGCCCCATTGGTCCCAAGTCAGCCAGGAGTGCACATCTAAAGGATATGGGATCTGGTAACTGTGCTTACACAGAAGTCGTATGTTTTAGTTTTAAAATAATATGTAATGGCATTTACTTGCTTTCAGTGGATGTCTAACTACGAATCAATTCTATAGGCAATATGTCCCACAACACAACGGCTTCTTGTAAAAAGGCTGAAAATATGTACTCCTTTAAATTATATTGTTTAACCTGTAATCCCAGCACTTTGGGAGACCAAGGCGGCGGATCACCTGAGGCCAGGAGTTCAAGACTAGACTGGCAAACATGGCTAAACCCCATCTCTACTAAAAATACAAAAAATTAGCCAGGCATGTTGGTGCGTGTCTGTAATCCCAGCTATTCTCCTGCCTCAGCAGGAGAATCGCTTGAACCCAGGAGGCGGAGGTTGCAGTGAGCTGAGATCATGCCACAGCACTATAGCCTGGGCTAGAGAGCAAGACTCTGTCTCAAAAAACAAAACAAAACAAAAAAAACCCAAAATTATATTGTTTAGAAAATTGCTCTAGAAGTGAGTGAAGAGAAGGCATGTCCATCACAAAGATGGTGCTTCATATGTCTGTGCTGCCATTGGCGGTGATGATGATGAAATACTGAAGGCTCAAGGTGCATCAGCACCCCTTCCTTCCTCTGCTTTGCCTTTAGAGGAGCTGCCTCTGAGTCTGGGTCTTTCAGCTGTTCAGCTTGCCTGGGGAAAGCAAGGGGCCTCTTCCAGACTGTCACCTTTGTCTGCTTTTCATTGCTTGCTTCATGGTTTATTTTTTAAGGAAGATTTTTTCTAAAAAGCCTTCTAGCTTTCTTTCTCTTTCTTTTCCATTTCATCCTCTCTTACTCTGGGACAAGCTTCTTGAGTTTTTTGCAGGTACCATGTACTTTCCTAAGCAGTTGGATGCCTTTCTCTAGGGAACTGGTTCTATAACTTTCCAATGGAGACTTTAATTAGAAACTATGAAAGAACACTTATAGCATAAAAGTCACCTAGTCATATTCCATTAGTTTCATACAGGCTCATGTGAGGTCAACTCTTTTCATTTAGTTTCTCAAACACAGTAGAGTTTTTGTAAAATTAATTATGTTACACTGAAGAGATAGCTTGAGATTTTCAGCACAGGTTTGCCATGGTATTAAAGATTTGAGAAAGTGGAGATCAAGATAAGAATCCTCATTTTGGACAGCTTTTAGGCTAGAATCACTAAGAGAAACAGTAATGAATGTAAATGTATTAGACCTCCCTGTAATGCAGAATTTACCATCTGTTGCGCTATCCCATTAGTTTTTATTAAATTGATTGCCTTAATCTGGAGAGAAAGGATATTTTTGTGTCTGCTAACTTCAACTCCACTTACCTTACAATAAATGTTTCATTCCTCTTTTCATTTTTCTTCCCAGCTGTCAGCCAAGCTCAATAACCTTCCAATGCTCATTTCCATGAGGCTGGAGTTCCTGCGAATCCTCTGTAGCCATGAACATTACCTCAATCTGAACCTTTTCTTTATGAATGCTGATACTGCTCCAACATCTCCCTGTCCTTCCATATCTTCTCAGGTAATAACAAAAATTATTTAACTAAAAGAATTATTCAAGCTACTTCATTTAACTAGCCCAGTTTAATCGTGTATTTTCTATAAAGGTTAGTCTTATTAATTTGATGAAAAATAAAACTATTCAAACTATTCAAACCAGATCAAGTATGCTACCCTGAAGTTACACCACTAGCTAATAGTTTACAAGCAAAGTAATTGGTTTCTCCCCAGGCTCAAGGGTCCCTGATCAGGTTAAATAAAGCAAAGAATCCATAAGCCCTATGAAATTTAGAAACTCATAGAAAAGTCTCAGATCTTTCTTTGTCTGACATTAGCCAATTATTATGCAGATACAGGATTCCAGAGTAAATAAGTTTTGGAAACCAAACTTTCTTTCCAGTAGGCGCTCTAAGAGTCTGACTTGTTCCTGTCAATTGTAAATGCACAAGAAGTAGAAGAGGAAATGGGAGAAGGTGTCCATGATAAGCAGTGATTCCCAAAGTGATTTGACATGGAAACCCCACGCCACCTCATACATTTTTCAAAGGGCTAGTGTTCTCTGGAATAACTTTAGGAACATGCTGTTTGATAGTCACATTCCATTTATAGGGAACACAGTAGCTCAGAGCATCAGGCGAAAATCCTTATTATTAGGTCGTATTTCTGTTGCATATTCCTTGATACTAGCACAAAAGTGAGGGCTTGTCTTACTAATTGAAAAAAAAAATCTTAGCCATGTTTGCCATATGGCATGACCCAGATATTACCTACATGACCATCTTACTGTGAACAGGGAAAGAGGTGACTCAGAGGCAGCAGTTCCAAATGTGTAAACTTTTTGCTCCATCCTGCCCAGCAGCTTATGTCTAAAAACTTCCCTGGACTAAGCTTGCCGTAGGTTCTTTTCCACCTTCCCCTCTGACTGCCCCAGGGAATGGCCAAACCCAGGGGCCAGGCTCACCGAACAGTGAAGGATTTCTAGAGACACTTTAGATGCTCTTAATGAAATATAAAGTGTGTTCCCAGGATACGAATACAGGACCGGAATTACCGAGGACCGGTGAATCTAACACTCCCCTGCCTGATATCACTTCTAGTTCCAGACCAGCAAAAGTCTGACAACATGCTTAAGCCAAATTTAGAATCATAGCTGAGGCCAGGCATGGTGGCTCACACCTGTAATCCCAGCACCTTAGGAGACAAATCGGGCAGATCACATGAGGCCAGGAGTTACCAGCCTGATCGCATGGTGAAAACTCACCTCTACTGAAAGTACAAAAATTAGTCAGGCGTGATGGTGCCCCTGTAATCCCAGCTATTTGGAAGGCTGAGGCATGAGAATTGCTTGAACCCAGGAGGCAGAGGTTGCAGTGAGCTGAGACCATGTCACTGCACTCCAGCCTGGGCAACAGAGTGAGACTCTGTCTTAAAAAAAAATTGTAGCTGAGTAAACAGGGCCTTAAACAAAGTGGGCAGTTGATTATAGAGGAATCGCCTGCTCCCAGCCACAGGACTGTGTGAGGTTCTTATTTCTCTGTCCAAATTTTATCCTAGGATTATCTTCAGCTTTCGATTTCAGGTGGGTAAGAGAGTGACACTCATTTTTCAACAGAGCCTGAGTGCTTCATCTTCATCTTTCCCGCTGGGCAGTCTTCCCTCTGTGGGAAAGGGAAAGCGAAGTAACCACTCTTGTCTGTTTCCTTATCTGCCATGAGCAGTACCTACCTGGCTGGGGAGGGCTCACACAGCCTGGCTGGGGCAAGGGCTCAGTAAACACTAGCCATGGCTATTTTCATTTCAGTTCTTGTGACTCATAAAATGGCTCCTTGCGTTTCCGTAGAACTCAAGCTCCTGCTCCAGTTTCCAGGACCAGAAGATCGCCAGCATGTTTGATCTGACTTCCGAGTACCGCCAGCAGCACTTCCTCACTGGGCTTCTCTTCACAGAACTGGCTGCTGCCTTGGATGCCGAAGGGGAAGGGTATGTTTTTGGCATTTAAAATGGAAGATGAGCTGGGCGCAGAGGCTCACGCCTGTAATCCCAGCACTTTGGGAGGCCAAGGCAGGCAGATCACAAGGTGAGGATGTCGAGACCATCCTGGCCAACATGGTGAAACCCTGTCTTTACTAAAATACAAAAAAATTAGCCTGGTGTGGTTGCACATGCCTGTAATATCAGCTACTCAGGAGGCTGAGGCAGGAGAATTGCTTGAACCCAGGAGGC